AAACTGTATACCAATTATCAAATCAACATCTGTAAGCATAACAACAAATAGTGTGGAAAACTGATTACTTGCGTGAATTTAAGAAGTCAAAGGACCTGACATGTGAGGGACTCAAACTCATAACCTGAGTGTAAAAAGGCTAGTGATATAGTAGTTAGCTACGTAAAAGGATATTTGCTAAAGTAGGACAAATTAATTGTAGGCCAAGCTAAAAATAGTTATACAATACAGTTATTTCCATTTCTATGCATTCTATACAAAATAAAAAAAATGAGTATTTGACACAGCATAGGTTTATGACACAAAATGAATGTGGTCAAAGAAATGAAAAATTTGAAATTGGACATTTACCTATTATGGTCCAATATCCCAAATCTAAGTACATTGTTAGAATCAGCATATTAAAGAACCCCAAGAATTCAATTTTTGATGAGATAATTATTAATTAAATCATTCCTGTTCAAAGGGAAATAACTCAAAATAAACAAGAGACCAAATGACATAGAAATTAATTATTAATTATACCATTTCTGTTCAAAAGGAAATAACTCAAATTCATATAGTAATAAAATGCTCCGCTGGGCGCAGCTTGATACGACCGCAGAGGTCGAACCCTGAACAGTTGGGGCAAGTATGGACACAACATTCAAGCTTGATACAGCTCTGAATTTGGATTGTGATTAAATATTTGACACAGCATAGGTTTCTGAAACAGAATGAATGTGGTCTAAGAACTTTAATTTTTTTAATTTACCTATTATGGTCCAATATCCAAAATCTAAATACATGGTAAGATTCAGCATATCAAAGAATCCAAAGAATTCCATTTTTGATGAAATCAAACAAAGTTTAATTTGGACCCTTTTGACCTCAATGTGGACCAATTTGATAACGGGGCCCAAAAATCAAAATACATGGTTAGATTCAGCATATCAAAGAACCCCATATATTCAATTTTTGTTGAAATCAAACAAAGTTTAATTTTGGACCCCAATTTGGACCAACTTGAAAACTGGGCCCATAATCAAAAATCTAAACACATGTTTAGATTCAGCATATCAAAGAACCCCAAGAATTCAATTTTTGTTAAAATCAAACTAAGTTAAATTTTGGACCCTTTGGACCTTAATGTAGACCAATTTAAAAAACTGGACCCAAAATTAAAAATCTATATACACAGTTAGATTTGACATATCAAAGAACCCCAATAATTCAATTTTTGATGAAATAAAACAAAGTTTAATTTTGGACCCTTTTGACCTCAATGTGGACCAATTTGATAACGGGGCCCAAAAATCTAAATACATGGTTAGATTCAGCATATCAAAGAACCCCATATATTCAATTTTTGTTGAAATCAAACAAAGTTTAATTTTGGACCCCAATTTGGACCAACTTGAAAACTGGGCCCGAAATAAAAAATCTAAACACATGTTTAGACTCAGCATATCAAAGAATCCCAAGAATTCAATTTTTGTTAAAATCAAACTAAGTTTAATTTTGGACCCTTTGGACCTTAATGTAGACCAATTTAAAAAACTGGACCCAAAATTAAAAATCTAAATACACGGTTAGATTTGGCATATCAAAGAACCCCAATAATTCAATTTTTGATGAAATAAAACAAAGTTTAATTTTGGACCCTTTTGACCTCAATATGAACCAATTTGATAGCAGGGCCCACAAATAAAAAAATCAAAATACATGGTTAGATTCAGCATATCAAAGAACCCCATATATTCAATTTTTGTTGAAATCAAACTAAGTTTAATTTTGGACCCCAATTTGGACCAACTTGAAAACTGGGACCGAAATCAAAAATCTAAATACATGTTTAGATTTAGCATATCAAAGAACCCAAAGAATTCAATTTTTGTTAAAATTAAACTAAGTTTAATTTTGGACCCTTTGAACCTTAATGTAGACCAATTTGAAAACTGGACCCTAAATTAAAAATCTAAATACGCGGTTAGATTTGGCATATCAAAGAACCCCAATAATTCAATTTTTGATGAAATAAAACAAAGTTTAATTTTGGACCCTTTTGACCTCAATATGAACCAATTTGATAGCCGGGCCCACAAATAAAAAATCTAAATACATGGTTAGATTCAGCATATCAAAGAACCCAATATATTCAATTTTTGTTGAAATCAAACAAAAGTTTAATTTTGGACCCCTATTTGGATCAACTTGAAAAATGGGCCCGAAATCAAAAATCTAAATACATGTTTAGAATCAGCATATCAAAGAACCCCATATATTCAATTATTGTTAAAATCAAACTAAGTTTAATTTTGGACCCTTTGGACCTTAATGTAGACCAATTTGAAAACTGGACCCAAAATGAAAAATCTAAATACATGGTTAGATTCGGCATATCAAAGGACCCCATATATTCAATTTGTGTTGAAATCAAACAAAGTTTAATTTTGGACCCCAATTTGGACCAACTTGAAAACTGGGCCCGAAATCAAAAATCTAAATACATGTTTAGATTCAGCATATCAAAGAACCCCAAGAATTCAATTTTTGTTAAAATCAAACTAAGTTTAATTTTGGACCCTTTGGACCTTAATGTAGACCAATTTGAAAACTGGACCCCAAAATTAAAAATCTAAATACACAGTCAGATTTGGCATAACAAATAAACAAATATATTCAATTTATGTTGAAATCAAACAAAGTTTAATTTTGGACCCCAATTTGGACCAACTTGAAAACTGGGACCGAAATCAAAAATCTAAATACATGTTTAGATTCAGCATATCAAAGAACCCCAAGAATTCAATTTTTGTTAAAATTAAACTAAGTTTAATTTTGGACCCTTTGAACCTTAATGTAGACCAATTTGAAAACTGGACCCTAAATTAAAAATCTAAATACGCGGTTAGATTTGGCATATCAAAGAACCCCAATAATTCAATTTTTGATGAAATAAAACAAAGTTTAATTTTGGACCCTTTTGACCTCAATATGAACCAATTTGATAGCCGGGCCCACAAATAAAAAATCTAAATACATGGTTAGATTCAGCATATCAAAGAACCCCATATATTCAATTATTGTCGAAATCAAACAAAAGTTTAATTTTGGACCCCTATTTGGATCAACTTGAAAAATGGGCCCGAAATCAAAAATCTAAATACATGTTTAGAATCAGCATATCAAAGAACCCCATATATTCAATTATTGTTAAAATCAAACTAAGTTTAATTTTGGACCCTTTGGACCTTAATGTAGACCAATTTGAAAACTGGACCCAAAATGAAAAATCTAAATACATGGTTAGATTCGGCATATCAAAGGACCCCATATATTCAATTTATGTTGAAATCAAACAAAGTTTAATTTTGGACCCCAATTTGGACCAACTTGAAAACTGGGCCCGAAATCAAAAATCTAAATACATGTTTAGATTCAGCATATCAAAGAACCCCAAGAATTCAATTTTTGTTAAAATCAAACTAAGTTTAATTTTGGACCCTTTGGACCTTAATGTAGACCAATTTGAAAACTGGACCCCAAAATTAAAAATCTAAATACACAGTCAGATTTGGCATAACAAATAAATAAAATATATTCAATTTATGTTGAAATCAAACAAAGTTTAATTTTGGACCCCAATTTGGACCAACTTGAAAACTGGGCCCGAAATCAAATATCTAAATACATGTTTAGATTCAGCATATCAAAGAACCCCAAGAATTCAATTTTTGTTAAAATCAAACTAAGTTTAATTTTGGACCCTTTGGACCTTAATGTAGACCAATTTGAAAACTGGACCCCAAAATTAAAAATCTAAATACACAGTCAGATTTGGCATAACAAATAAATAAATGTGGTCAAAGATTTTACAAATCTAATGCGCCATACTGTGCAATTAAAGATTACTTCTTGAAATTTTTCAATATTTGAAATTTGAAAAAAAAATAATATTTGAAGAATAATTCTTTTTAATTTCTGAAATCTGAAATAAGAAAAATTTGACCCCCCACAATTTCTTTTTTTTGGTCTTAATTGTTCATTAACCATTACTTTATACATAATTTAAAAGCAGTGTAAGGGAGGTAATTCTAATGATGAATTTGATTTATCTCCCTTACACTGCTTTAAATTATGTTTTGTACTAAAGTATTTGTCCATATAAAAATGCTTGTTTTTTGCCCCTTTTTTGGCCCCTTATTCCTAAAATTTTGAGGCAATTACCCCCAAAATCAATCCCAGCATTCCCTTTGTGATATGGAACCTTGTGGCACAATGTCAGAGAGATCCATACACTAACACACAAGTTATGTCTGGAAGTTACAAAAATGCTTATTTTTGGCCCCTTTTGGCCCCTAATTCCTTAACTGTTGGTACCATTACCCCCAAAATCAATCCCCACCTTCCTTTTGTGGTATTGAACCTTATGGTAAAATTTCATTGAGATCCATTCACTTAAACTAAAGTTAGAGTGCGAAAACTAATGTGTCTTCGGACGACGACGACGACGCCAACATCATACCAATATACGACCACAAAAATTTTTGTTTGGCAGCCACCCCCCCCCCCCCGCCGGCCGCCGTACATCTCCAAATCAAAAACCAAAAACAATTTATTTATAAAAATTAACAAAACTTGCTCTCGTCTTGTTTGCTCTAGAATATGAAATAAAAAACATCTGCTAATTTTGTTGAATATTGAAGAAATCACATAATAATAAATTCCTGAATTGAAACATGACAACTAAGCTTAGTTAAAAGCTTGTTAAGTGTGGATTTAGCGCCCCAAATATATGATGTTGTCCAATCAAAATGGTGATAACAAATAATTGCATTAGAATTTTAAATTGTTTGTTTAAAACCAATTTTGTAAGATTTCTCTCCTGAAGTATTTTGGTTTTGCGGCATTTGATTTCTTAGTTTTATATTTCTTTATAATTTGTAACTTATTTTCTACTTGATTCATTCTAAGTGTAAGCGTTTGTAATTCAACACCATATCTATCACTATATGTACCTGTAAGTATTCCATCACTTCTTTATACTGGAGAGATTTATATTCTGCTGCTAGATCGTATGGCGTCTGACCCTGAAATACAGACAAATCTTTATATTGCTTTCACCTGTTACAAAGAAGGCTTCTGTAACACATAATATCTTACAATTAGTAAGACCAGTAGCAGCTGAGTGGTGATTAATTTTATCTTAACAGATGCTAACCATATATATATAACTCATGAGACGACATTTCGATTATTTTTCACAATTTTGTGAAGACTTTAAATAGGCTTTTAACTCTTTTTTTTAAAGAATCAGAATAAAAGTTCCATCTGTCACCATTTGGTCCTGTTATTTTCTTTGCAGTCTGAAGATTGGTAAATGCATCCTAATGTCTACATGAGGTGTGGATGAGTTTGGGGGTCTTCATTTTTAACTATCTTTTCTAATTTTGTGGGCACATTATTCACAGTTCTTTATATTTTTAACATCCCAATATTATTCTCTATTTTTTATATTTTTGTACCCAATCCTTTTCTATTCATTAATTCTACCCATACAACCCCTCCTATATCTGTATACCCCATCCAAACCCTCCTATATCTGTATTACCTATCCACACCCTCCTATATCTGTATACCCCATTTAAACCTTCCTATATCTGTATACCCCATCCAAACCCTCCTATATCTGTATACCCGATTTAAACCCTCCTATATATTTGTATTACCCATCCGAACCCTCCTATATCTGTTTTACCAATCCAAACCCTCCTATATCTGTATACCCAATCAACACCCACTTATACCTGTATTACCCATCCAAACCCTCCTATATCTGTATACCCCATCCACACCCTCCTATATCTGTATACCACATCTACATCCTCCTATATCTGTATTACCCATCCAAACCCCCCTATATCTGTATACCCAATCCACACCCTCTTATATCTGTATACCCCATCCACACCCTCCTATAGGGAAAACGGTACTATTTATTCTGCCATAGGCGACAATACTAACATTTTCTAAATTTACCACTTTTTATAATAAAAACCTGGACAAAACAGTTATGTGTGGTATTAGTACTTTATTATTCTGTTTTAAAACTTGAGGTCAAATGTATCATGACCAACTTCCAACGGAGCTTGTTTATGTTATCCATGCCCACCGTCCTTTTACGCCAAATTTATGAAATTTTGGAAGTCTTTTCGAACAATTCTCTAGAATATATTTCAATGGGTTTCAAAATTTATATTGTAAATATACACACTGCAGTTATTCATAGATAAAAAAAAAATATATATATATTGTACCCTAATAAAATCTCAGGTCATAACGCTTACGAACTTTTTTCCAGCTGAATTTAAGTATTTTAGGGGACATTTTTTTATATTTTAAAACAAGCAATTTCCAAACCATGAAAAGTAATGGTAAAGTATTAACTGAAAATAATTTTAAAGTATTATTATCAATGCACTTCTGGCTATGATAGATCAATGTTTAACACTTTAACAATTTCCTTGATTATATTCAATTCACAAGTCACAAGGAGCTCAGTATGCATCTATCATGTCTATCTGTAGAGTTTTATACATTATTTCTAGAGATGATGATGGGGGTTATTAAAGACCTTGACTGGCTATACAGCCCTCGCACGGTAGTTGATATTAGAGTATAATAAAAAAAAGTTAAACATTTAAAGGAAGTAGAGATGAAAAAAACTAGATATCATTGAGATGGGAGCCATCTCTGTGGGCCCCGCTGAGAATAACATGAGGTAAAAAATTTGTATCTTTATCATTGGACATGTGGTTGTCAACTGAAACCAAAGTTTATGACCTTGACCTTTGACCTAGGAAGATGTATATAAATTATGACACACCCTATGGTGTTTGTTTATATACATGTCAAGTATAAACTTTGAAATCATAACAGTTCTCAAGATATAGAGCGGACACGATCTTTACCATAGGACATGGGGTTGTCAACTTAAACCAAAGTTTTTGACCTTGACCTTTGACCTAGGAAGTTGTACATACATTATGACACACCCTCTGGTGTTGGTTTATATACATGTCAAGTATAAACTTTGAAATCATTCCAGTTCTCTAGATATAGAGCAGACACAATTTGTTACAGACGGAAGGACGGACAGATGGACGGACAGATTGATCACTATAGGGCGTCTGCCATTCGGTGAGGCCCTAATAATTTTCAACTATTTATTTTCTAATTGTTCTAAGGTAGAAAAATAATAAGTAATAATCTTATATGTATTTGCATTCAATTTGTTTTAGATTTAACCTTTTTTACAAAAATAAACATAAATTTAAAGAGTATATTGTGAAAGGTGACAAAAAGGTGAAGTAATTAAATTTTTTGTGAAACAACTTTGAAATACACAAATTATTTTTGACCTAAAGCTAAGGTAATTGGTGTTAATTAACAGTGTGTTTGACACCAAAGCTGTCAAATAAAGCCATGCACTGAAATGGGTCACTTAATTTGAGTTTACACAGCTAGTTGAACTTCTTGTAAAGGAAGAATTACGAATTTGCCGGTATTTCAAAGGAAATCAGTCTGAAGGCTAAAGAATCCGGGTGAAAACGGGGTGAAAAAATATTTAAATGGGTTTCAAAATTTATATTGAAAATATACACACTGCAGTTATTCATAGATAAATAAAATAAAGTTAGAGAACGGAAACTAAAAATTCAGCAATTTTTATGTTTATAAAGGGACATAACTCAAGAATGGTAAAAGTGTTCTCACCAAATTTTGTACTTAATCTGTATTATGTAGTAATAAGCATTGTGTATAAGTTTCATAACATTTGGTTGAGGCAAACTAAAGTTCGAAAACGGAAACAAAAAATTTGTACTTGATCTTAGTTTTGTGGTAATGAATATTGTGTATAGGTTTCATAATGTTTGGTTGGGGCAAACTTAAGTTACAGAATGGAAACTAAAAATTTTGCAATCTTTCGATTTACAAAGGGGCATAACTCAATAATGGTTAAAGTGACACTACCCAAATTCAACTTGATCTGTGTTTTATCAGTGGAAGTAAAAATTAAACATTGCTTTGTATAAAGCATTGATTGTAGTTGATTCAACTATAATCATGGACAAAGGAATATAACTCCAATTTCAAAAATTAATTGATATTTAGAAAAAAATAAAAATTTTGCAATTTTTCCATTTATAAAGGGGTATAACTCTAGAACAGTAAAAGTGACGCCACCAACATTCAAACTTGATCTGTGTTTTACTAAAAATTTTGCATTTTTTCCATTTATAAAGGGCATAACTGGAGAATGGTTAAAGTGACCCCACCAAAATTCAAACTTGATCTTTATTTTGTGGTAATAAGCATTGTGTATATGTTTCATAAAATTTGGTTGAGGCAAACTTAAGTTAGAGAACGGAAACTAAAAATTTTGCAATTTTTCCATTTATAAAGTGGCATAACTCTAGGACGGTTAAAGTGACGACACCAAAATTCAAACTTGATCTGTGTTTTGTGGTAATAAGCATTGTGTATAAGTTTCATAACATTTGGTTGAAGCAAACTCAAGTAAGAGAACGGAAACTAAAATTTTTGTAATTTTTCCATTTATATAAAGGGGCATAACTCTAGAACGGTTAGAGTGATGCTACCAAAATTCAAACTTGATCTGTATTTATTGGTAATAAGCATTGTTATAAGTTTCATAAAATTTGGTTGAAGCAAACTTAAGTTAGAGAACGGAAACTAAAAATTTTCCATTTCCATTTATAAAGGGGCATAACTCTAGAACGGTTAAAGTGACGCCACCAAAATTCAAACTTGATCTCAGTTTTGTGGTAATTAGCATTGTTTATGAGTTTCATAACATTTGGTTAAGGCAAACTCAAGTTAGAGAACAGAAACCAATTTTTGGACGCACGGACGGACGTACGTACGTACGTACTTACAGACGGACAAGGGTAAAACTTATAAAAATATATATTGTACCCTTACATCTAATCACAGCGCTTCTAAGTTGATTTCCTTCACCTGCCTTGGGTACACAAAAGGCCAACCTAAAGCCGGGAAGATGTAATACTACTTTTTTCTCTATATCTGTATACCCAATCCCCATCCTCCTATATCTGTATACCCTACCCAATCCACACCCTTCTTTATCTGTATACCCCATCCACACACTCCTATATCTGTATTACCCATCCACTCTTTCCTATATCAGTATTCCCCATCCACACCCTCCTATATCAGTATATCCAATCCACATCCTCCTGTATCTGTATTACCCCTCCACACCCTTCTCAACCTCTATACCCCATCCACACCCTCCTATATGTGTATACCCGATCCACATCTTCCTATAGGTGTATACCCTATCCATCCCCTCCTATATCTGTATTACCCCTCCACACCCTACTCAACCTCTATACCCCGTCCACACCCTCCTATATGTGTATACCCGATCCACACCTTCCTATAGGTGTATACCCTATCCATCCCCTCCTATATCTGTATTACCCCTCCACACCCTACTCAACCTCTATACCCCGTCCACACCCTCCTATATGTGTATACCCGATCCACACCTTCCTATAGGTGTATACCCTATCCATCCCCTCCTATATCTGTATTACCCCTCCACACCCTTCTCAACCTCTATACCCCATCCACACCCTCCTATATGTGTATACCCCATCCACACCTTCCTATTCCTGTATATTCCATTCACACTCTCCTATATGTGTATACCCCATCCACACCCTCCTATATGTCTATACCCCATCCACACCCTTCTATATGTGTATACCCCATCTACCCCTCCTATATCTGTATTACCCCTTCACACCCTCCTAAACCTCTATACCCCATCCACACCCTCCTATATGTGTATACCCCATCCACACCATCCTATATGTGTATACCCCATCCTCACCCTCCTGTATGTGTATACCCCATATACACCCTCCTATATCTGTATACCCTATCCACACCCTCCTATGTCTGTATCCACACCCTCCATAAAACTTTTTCATATCTTAAGTTAAATTTAAAGGATCAGATGACTTTTGACTATTGCCTTGAAAAAGAATCAATTTGACCAACCATATCTTATACATCATTTTAGTGATTCATTAAAATAGTTGAACACTGGTCAAATACTATAAAATATTACCTTATGTGTTGTAACCATGGGATTGGCACCTCCTTGTTCTACCAGACATCTTGTGATCTGTAGACGTCCCCGCTCAGCAGCCCAATGTAAAGCTGTGTATCCACTCATCTATAATATAACCAAATAACATGTAAATATTATGGACAATACTTTGTTATCAATATCAATAATATACAACATATCCTACAACTGACATTAAAACTTGTCTGATAAACTGGACAATGTTGTGTAATAAATATAAACAAAATATATATCACATGAATCAGTGGTCAAAACTGAATAAAATGACCAGTCACACTTGTATTTATATTCTATATAAGCAATAAATAAACATGTTTTGTTGTGAAATGTCAAAACTTCCATTAAACCTGATATCTTAAAAAAAAAAAAAAATTTCAAGAAATGCGTAAAATAATTATATCAATGGATTCAGTAGAACAAAACAAGTAAAATGAGACCCCACTTTATATGATTGTTACAAATATTTATTCATTAAACCTGTCTAATTAACAACAGGATTTAGTGTAGATTCAGTATAATTATTCATTTTAATAAAATATTTTTTTTAAAGAAACATAAAAGGAGTAATATATTTTGATTCAGAACAATAATATGAGTAAAATGAGACCCCACTTGATATAATTATTACAAATATTTGTTCATTAAAACTGTCTGATTAACAACATGATTTTGTGTCGATTAATAGTAATGTGATCAGACTAAGTAGATAACATACCCTATCTGTGGTGTTGATCTTACATCCTGTATCAATGAGATGTCTACAGACCTCCAGGTGTCCTTCCCTGACAGCCCACATTAATGCTGTCCCTCCATACTCCTGGAATAATACAACTGACATCAAAACTTGTCTGATAAACTGGACAATGTTGTGTAATAAATATAAACAAAATATATATCACATGAATCAGTGGTCAAAACTCAATACAATGACCAGTCACACTTGTATTTATATTGTACATAAACAATAAATAAACATGTTTTGTTGTGAAATGTCAAAACTTCCATTAAACCTGATATCTTAAAAAAAAAAAAAATTTCAAGAAATGTGTAAAATAATTATATCAATGGATTCAGTAGAACAAAACATGTAAAATGAGACCCCACTTTATATGATTCTTACAAATATTTGTTCATTAAACATGTCTAATTAACAACAGGAATTAGTGTAGATTCAGTATAATCATTCATTTTAATAAAATAATTTTTTCAAAGAAACATAAAAGGAATAATATTTTCTGATTCAGAACAATAATATGAGTAAAATGAGACCCCACTTGATATAATTATTACAAATATTTGTTCATTAAACCTGTCTGATTAACAGCATGATTTTGTGTTGATTAATAGTAATGTGATCAGACTAAGTAGATAACATACTTCTGTGGTGTCGATCTTACATCCTGTATCAATGAGAAGTCTACAGACCTCCAGGTATCCTCCCATGGCAGCCCTCATTAATGCTGTCTCTCCATCCTCCTGGAATAATACAACTGACATCAAAACTTGTCTGATAAACTGGACAATGTTGTGTAATAAATATAAACAAAATATATATCACATGAATCAGTGGTCAAAACTGAATAAAATGACCAGTCACACTTGTATTTATATTCTATATAAACAATAAATAAACATGTTTTGTTGTGAAATGTCAAAACTTCCATTAAACCTGATATCTTAAAAAAATTTTTTTTTCAAGAAATGTGTAAAATAATTATATCAATGGATTCAGTAGAACAAAACAAGTAAAATGAGACCCCACTTTATATGTTTCTTACAAATATTTGTTCATTAAAACTGTCTAATTAACAACAGGATTTAGTGTAGATTCAGTATAATCATTCATTTTAATAAAATATTTTTTTTAAAGAAACATGAAAAGGAGTTATATTTTCTGATTCAGAACAATAATATGAGTAAAATGAGACCCCACTTGATATAATTATTACAAATATTTATTCATTAAACCTGTCTGATTAACAACATGATTTTGTGTTGATTAATAGTAATGTGATCAGACTAAGTAGATAACATACTTCTGTGGTGTCGATCTTACATCCTGTATCAATGAGAAGTCTACAGACCTCCAGGTATCCTCCCATGGCAGCCCTCATTAATGCTGTCCATCCACTAACCTGGAATAATACAACTGACATCAAAACTTGTCTGATAAACTGGACAATGTTGTGTAATAAATATAAACAAAATATATATCACATGAATCAGTGGTCAAAACTGAATTAAATGACCAGTCACATTTGTATTTATATTCTACATAAACAACAAATAAACATGTTTTGTTGTGAAATGTCAAAACTTCCATTAAACCTGATATCTTAAAAAAAAAAAAATTTTTCAAGAAATGTGTAAAATAATTATATCAATGGATTCAGTAGAACAAATCAAGCAAAATGAGACCCCACTTTATATGATTCTTACACATATTTATTCATTAAAACTGTCTTATTAACAACAGGATTTAGTGTAGATTCAGTATAATTATTCATTTAAATAAAATAATTTTTTTAAAGAAACATGAAAAGGAGTAATATTTTCTGATTCAGAACAATAATATGAGTAAAATGAGACCCCACTTGATATAATTATTACAAATACTTGTTCATTAAAACTGTCTGATTAACAACATGATTTAGTGTAGATTCAGTATAATCATGATAACATAGATAATAGGTATGTGTGTTGTGTTTGATAATAGGTATGTTTCACATTCACTGTTGTGTTTGATAATAGGTATGTTTCACATTTAGAGTTGTGTTTGATAATAGGTATGTTTCACAGTCAGTGTTGTGTTTGATAATAGATATGTTTCACATTCAGTGTTATGTTTGATAATAGGTATGTTTCACATTCAGTGTTGTGCTTCGATAATAGGTATGTTTCACATTCAGTAATGTGTTTGATAATAGCCATGTTTCACATTCAGTGTTATGTTTGATAATAGGTATGTTTCACATTCAGTGTTGTGTTTGATAACATGCATGTTTCACATTCAGTGATGTGTTTGATAATAGGTATGTTTCACATTCAGTGTTGTGTTTGATAATAGGTATGTTTCACATTCAGTGTTGTGTTTGATAACAGGTATGTTTTACCTTCAGTGTTGTGTTTGATAATAGGTATGCTTCACATTCAGTGTTGTGTTTGATAATAGGTATGTTTCACATTCATTGTTGTGTTTGATAATAGGTATGTTTCACATTCAGTGTTATGTTTGATAATAGGTATGTTTCACATTCAGTGTTGTGTTTGATAATAGGTATGTTTTACATTCATTTTTGTGTTTGATAATAAGTATGTTTCACATTCAGTGATGTGTTTGATAACAGGTATGTTTCACATTCAGTGTTGTCTTTGATAACAGGTATGTTTCATATTCAGTGATGTGTTTGATAACATGCATGTTTCACATTCAGTGATGTGTTTGATAATAGGTATGTTTCACATTCAGTGTTGTATTTGATTACAGTGTCTCACATTCAGTGTTGTGTTTGATAACATTCATGTTTCACATTCAGTGTTGTGTTTGATAATAGGTATGTTTCACATTCAGTGTTGTGTTTGATAATAGGTATGTTTCATATTCAGTGATGTGCTTTGATAATAGGTATGTTTCACATTCAGTGTTATGTTTGATAATAGGTATGTTTCACATTCAGTGTTGTGTTTGATAAGTATGTTTCACATTCAGTGTTGTGTTTGATAACATGCATGTTTCACATTCAGTGTTGTGCTTTGAGAATAGGTATGTTTCACATTCAGTGTTGTGTTTGATTATAGGTATGTTTCACATTCAGTGTTGTGTTTGATAACATGCATGTTTCACATTCAGTGTTATGTTTGATAATAGGTATGTTTCACATTCAGTGTTGTATTTGATAATAGGTTTGTTTCATATTCAGTGATGTGCTTTGATAATAGGTATGTTTCACAATCAGTGTTATGTTTGATAATAGGTATGTTTCACATTCAGTGTTGTGTTTGATAATAGGTATGTTTCATATTCAGTGATGTGCTTTGATAATATGCATGTTTCACATTCAGTGTTATGTTCGATAATAGGTATGTTTCACATTCAGTGTTGTGTTTGATAATAGGTATGCTTCACATTCAGTGTTGTGTTTGATAATGGGCATGTTTCACATTCAGTGTTGTGTTTGATTACAGTGTCTCACATTCAGTGTTGTGTTTGATAACATTCATGTTTCACATTGTGTTGTATTTGATAATAGGTATGTTTCACATTCAGTGTTGTGTTTTGATAATAGGTATGTTTCACATTCAGTGTTGTGTTTGATAATAGGTATGTTTCACATTCAGTGTTGTGTTTGATAATAAGTATGTTTCACATTCAGTGATGTGTTTGATAACAGGTATGTTTCACATTCAGTGTTGTCTTTGATAACAGGTATGTTTCACATTCAGTGTTGTATTTGATTACAGTGTCTCACATTCAGTGTTGTGTTTGATAACATTCATGTTTCACATTCAGTGTTGTGTTTGATATGTTTTGAAGTGACTAACAGTTGTGTATTTTATTCTGTTTATGTTCTTACTGTCATGTTTTGAAGTGACTTACAGTTGTCTGTTTTATTCTGTTTATGTTCTTACTGATATGTTTTGAAGTGACTAACAGTTGTGTGTTTTATTCTGTTTATGTTCTTACTGATATGTTTTGAAGTGAGTAACAGTTGTGTATTTTATTCTGTTTATGTTCTTATTGTCATGTTTTGAAGTGACTAACAGTTGTGTGTTTTATTCTGTTTATGTTCTTACTGTCATGTTTTGAAGTGACTAACAGTTGTAATTTATTCTGTTTATGTTCTTACTGTTATGTTTTGAAGTGACTAACAGTTGTGTATTTTATTCTGTTTATGTTCTTACTGTCATGTTTTGAAGTGACTAACAGTTGTCTGTTTTATTCTGTTTATGTTCTTACTGTCATGTTATGAAGTGACTAACAGTTGTAATTTATTCTGTTTATGTTCTTACTGTTATGTTATGAAGTGACTAACAGTTGTGTATTTTATTCTGTTTATGTTCTTACTGTCATGTTTTGAAGTGACTAACAGTTGTAATTTATTCTGTTTATGTTCTTACTGTTATGTTTTGAAGTGACTAACAGTTGTGTATTTTATTCTGTTTATGTTCTTACTGTCATGTTTTGAAGTGACTAACAGTTGTCTGTTTTATTCTGTTTATGTTCTTACTGTCATGTTATGAAGTGACTAACAGTTGTGTGTTTTATTCTGTTTATGTTCTTACTGTTATGTTATGAAGTGACTAACAGTTGTGTGTTTTATTCTGTGTATGTTCTTACTGTTATGTTTTGAAGTGACTAACAGTTGTGTGTTTTATTCTGTTTATGTTCTTACTGAGATGTTTTGAAGTGACTAACAGTTGTAATTTATTCTGTTTATGTTCTTACTGTCATGTTATGAAGTGACTAACAGTTGTATTTTATTCTGTGTATGTTCTTACTGTTATGTTATGAAGTGACTTACAGTTGTCTGTTTTATTCTGTTTATGTTCTTACTGTCATGTTTTGAAGTGACTAACAGTTGTGTGTATTATTCTGTTTATGTTCTTACTGTTATGTTATGAAGTGACTAACAGTTGTGTATTTTATTCTGTGTATGTTCTTACTGTTATGTTATGAAGTGACTTACAGTTGTGTGATTTATTCTGTTTATGTTCTTACTGTCATGTTTTGAAGTGACTAACAGTTGTGTATTTTATTCTGTTTATGTTATTACTGCTATGTTATGAAGTGACTAACAGTTGTGTATTTTATTCTGTTTATGTTCTTACTGTTATGTTTTGAAGTGACTAACAGTTGTGTGTTTTATTCTGTTTATGTTCTTACTGTCATGTTATGAAGTGACTAACAGTTGTATTTTATTCTGTGTATGTTCTTACTGTTATGTTATGAAGTGACTTACAGTTGTCTGTTTTATTCTGTTTATGTTCTTACTGTCATGTTTTGAAGTGACTAACAGTTGTGTGTTTTATTCTGTTTATGTTCTTACTGTCATGTTTTGAAGTGACTAACAGTTGTGTGTTTTATTCTGTTTATGTTCTTACTGTCATGTTTTGAAGTGACTAACAGTTGTGTATTTTATTCTGTTTATGTTCTTACTGTCATGTTATGAAGTGACTAACAGTTGTGTGTATTATTCTGTTTATGTTCTTACTGTTATGTTATGAAGTGACTAACAGTTGTGTATTTTATTCTGTGTATGTTCTTACTGTTATGTTATGAAGTGACTTACAGTTGTCTGTTTTATTCTGTTTATGTTCTTACTGATATGTTTTGAAGTGACTAACAGTTGTGTATTTTATTCTGTTTATGTTCTTATTGTCATGTTTTGAAGTGACTAACAGTTGTGTGTTTTATTCTGTTTATGTTCTTACTGTCATGTTATGAAGTGACTAACAGTTGTAATTTATTCTGTTTATGTTCTTACTGTCATGTTATGAAGTGACTAACAGTTGTATTTTATTCTGTGTATGTTCTTACTGTTATGTTATGAAGTGACTTACAGTTGTCTGTTTTATTCTGTTTATGTTCTTACTGTCATGTTTTGAAGTGACTAACAGTTGTGTGTATTATTCTGTTTATGTTCTTACTGTTATGTTATGAAGTGACTAACAGTTGTGTATTTTATTCTGTGTATGTTCTTACTGTTATGTTATGAAGTGACTTACAGTTGTCTGTTTTATTCTGTTTATGTTCTTACTGTCATGTTTTGAAGTGACTAACAGTTGTGTGTATTATTCTGTTTATGTTCTTACTGTTATGTTATGAAGTGACTAACAGTTGTGTATTTTATTCTGTGTATGTTCTTACTGTTATGTTATGAAGTGACTTACAGTTGTCTGTTTTATTCTGTTTATGTTCTTACTGATATGTTTTGAAGTGACTAACAGTTGTGTGTTTTATTCTGTTTATGTTCTTACTGATATGTTTTGAAGTGACTAACAGTTGTGTATTTTATTCTGTTTATGTTCTTATTGTCATGTTTTGAAGTGACTAACAGTTGTGTGTTTTATTCTGTTTATGTTCTTACTGTCATGTTTTGAAGTGACTAACAGTTGTAATTTATTCTGTTTATGT